GGTAGCCGCGCCCGGAGCCGCGTAGGCGGGCGCTGGAGCAGCCTCGTGCGCCGGGAGCCGCAGCGCCACACCGGACCAACATGCCTGTTCGCCGCGGGCATGTGGCCCCGCAAAACACCTTCCTGGGCACCATCATCCGCAAGTTCGAAGGGCAAAGTGAGTTCCTCGCCCCGCTGCTCGGCTCTGCTGGGGCAGCCCCGCGCGGGGTTACGTTTGTAGGGCTGGAAAGAGAAGCCCGGAGGGAAGAAATCCAGCGCCTTGCTGGCAGGATTTCGGCTTCCAAGACTGGTGGCCCCCCGCCCCGCCCCGCCCCGCCCCTCCCCCTTCCCCATCCTAGGGGCGGCGGGCTGTGCCTCCGAAGTGCTGCCCTCCGCAAACTGTTCCGAGGGCCCAGGCAGGCAGGGCCGGGGCACTGCGGGGGGGTTGTTGTTGTTGTTGCTCGGCATGGAAGGCAAACAGAGGCTGGATGGTCTTTGTGATAAATCAGGACAGCCAGGCTGTGATTCAAGAGAGAAATCCTAAGCAGAGGAATTGTTAAAGGGACAAGAGCTGCCCTGAACTTGTCCCCACCCCTGAATTCTTCAGCTGGTTGTCAGACGGGCTTTTCTGTTTCTTTGCACGTGTGTGTGTTTTAAAGAATGCTTAAAATATCCAAGCCAAAGGCATCCCTAAGGAAGATGTTCTGGGTAGGTGGTTTATCTAGTCAAAGGGAGCCTTCCCAATGCAGTAGTTTCCTACCTGTCAAGGAGACTGAAGATTTTGTTGGTGCTTTTCTTTGCTTGAACTCTTATTATTACTGTCAGGCAATAACAAGGAGATGGTGTAGAATGCTTCCAACTGAAAAGACTGGCAAAAAAAGTACTGGAGTAGAAAAAGAAGGTTTGACACGTGCATTAATATAAGTATTTTTAGCACCTTCGGATCGTTCTGTCTTTATTGCATCTTTTTCAGCCTACTAAAATCATCCCCTTAACTTCAGTTTAGGTACTTAGGCAATGTTTTTTACTGCAGCTCTATATCTACTGCCAATTTAATAGTCATTTAACTTGTGCATGAAATAAAAGCCAGATGCCAAAACCCTTGTTTGCATACATGTCGAAGTCAACAGGATTATTTCAACTACTCGAGTAAATGAAGTGGTACAAATTCAGGGTGTTGCATTGTGTTGAAGAGAATAAAGCTGATGAATAATCAGCTATCCAGTGAAGTAATTTTAATAAATACTTGTGGAAATTCAAATGTAACTCAAAGACAATAAAGGTATACCATGTTGTGTATAAAATGCATGTTCTTTTCCATAAATGTTTTAGTGTGTGGGAATATTAATTCTTAAAATTACATCACTAACATGGTCAGACAATGTTCACTTTATTCATATGATAAACCCTAATTAATTTAATTGGAATAAGGGAATGTGGACCAGGGAAGGAGGATTTAGTCCATTGCAATAACAAGACTGAACAAGGTTCACATTTAAGAAGAGAGTAGTGTGTTTTGCTAATACAAACAAGAAACAAGGCGAATAATGCAACTTTGGAACACTTTCCTCAGGTGAGAGTAAACTGAGACCCAAATTTTGCCCAACATGATCTTATACTTCTTGGCTTCTCTAAATATTGGCTTGAAATCTATTCTTGAAATTATGCAATACCATAACTTCCAATTCTTTCAGTAAGTATAGATTATAGCACACTATAAAAAAACCTCTCTCTCACGTTACATCTTGTCAGCAGTTTCAGTGAAACAGGTTATGGGCCTTGTCCTTCTCATGTTCAGGTCAATGGAAAAAATTCCGTTGCTTTTGGTAGTGCAGGACACAGCCCTTTAGACCTGACCTTAGTGAGTCCTTATACAGGCAAAACTTCTACAATCTTTTTGGTGAGAATTTTGCATATGAAAGCACTTGGAGAATTAAGCCTACAGTCTACATATCAGTGAATCTGAAAAAAGTATTACAAGTTTTGAAATTGACAAGATCTTTGTAAAAGGACTGAGAAGACTGGTCTTTATTTTCTTAAAAGCCTGCTAGCTTCATGTATAATGTATGGTAAGTTTATTGAACTTTCTTTAGATGATCCGGGTCAAGTTAACTATATTAAATATCTTCTGATACCTGTAATCAACTATATTAAATATCTTCTCTACATCAGAGAATCGCATTTAGCACCTATCCATGCAATGAACACTTTATGAAATGCTGAAAAAGTACTAAAAATGCATCACTTCGTTTTATTGCAGATAAAAACTTCATCATCGCTAATGCTAGAGTGCAGAACTGTGCTATCATCTACTGCAATGATGGGTTTTGTGAGATGACTGGATTCTCCAGACCAGATGTCATGCAAAAGCCCTGCACCTGCGATTTTCTTCATGGGCCAGAAACCAAGCGGCATCATATTGCCCAAATTGCCCAGGCACTGCTGGGGTCAGAGGAGAGGAAAGTGGAAGTTACTTATTATCACAAAAATGGTAAAGTCTCTCCATTTACAAGATATTTAATGCGGCTGAGTGTCCACGTGGCTTGTAAATAGATTTCTAAAGAAATTTGTTGGGCAGTATAAGTCAGATCCTTAGCTGATGTAAACTAGTGTGATTCTGCTGACTTTGTTGGAAATGCATTGATTTACATCAGCTGAGAGTTTGTGCCAAAGTTGTGTTTTTACCACATATACCTTTATATACTTGGAAATTGGTAAAATTGTCATGTATATGATCACTGTGCAAAATATAATGGACCAAATTCTCGTTTCACTTCAACCGGCATAAATCAGGAGGAAATCTCTAATTCCATGAAGTCAAAAGAATTACATTAATGTAAAACTCATGTAAGTGACAGGAGACATGGGCCCATTCTTACTTTTCATGGATCATTCTATATTGTGAAAGTTAGCAACTGCATGGAAGTTCTACGGGGCTAGACGCTGTTACCTTTAGTCATCCAGAGGAGTGTCTCGGTTAAGTGGGATATTTTACTGGGTAGATATTGAGTTAACAAGGGGCAAATTCTGCTACTGTTAGAAACTTGAAAATATTAACCTAAAAAGGACCAGATTTTTTTCCTAGCTGAGCTGCTGCAAATTCTGACGATCTATCTCTGAATCAAAAGGGCTTATGTTAGGATAATTTTACGATAAAGGGAAGATTTCGGGTGCCAGCAAAATAAGAGATTTCAATTTTTTTGCCTTCCCAAGAAAAAGCATATACTACCATTTTGCTATTATTACTGGCATATAGCATCATTGACTATATAGAATCATTTTGCATTATTACTGGCATTTGGTAGGAAAAAACATAATAGCAGAGCTGTTTTATTGTGTGGCTAAAAGTATAAAATGAATGTCTAAGTTTTTTGAAAACAATATTGCTAGATGGGACTATCAGAAAAACTAAATGCTTATGATTTACAGTTAAGTAATTTTTTATTACTCAGTTATTTAAAAGAATGTCTATCTTGAAAGTATCTGAATGATGCATATATTTGTATATAGATTCAGAGAAATCTGTATAGATTCAGAGAAAACAAATGAAAGTTATATTCAAATGTTGAGCTTAATTTACTTTTGGAAAAAAGCCAGCGTGCTATTTGTATTAGTTTGAGAATTGCAATAACAGAGGCTTTCCAGGTTTAAAGTCAAAGAGTCAAATTCTGTTCTAGGTTATTCTGTTATTCTAAACCTAAAATCATTCTTATATTTATGTCAGTGAAAGAGGTTTGGGGGGAATGGGCCAGGAGCTCTCTCTTTACTAGTAATATTTTAAGGATAAAATCTTACCCTTTGGGATAGTCCTGAGCCAAAACCAGAATGCTGCTTTGCTATACGGAAGTTAAGATCTTGGTTGAGAATCACAGCTGGTGTAGACCTGCTTTACTCCACTAATTTTCTTGATGATCTCTCCCTGCATATCTTTGCATATATTTCTAATCTGCATGTGGTAATTTGCATGTGAAATAAAGAGAACAGTACAAATACAACCCAACCTCACTAACTTTCAGACAACAGACAACAGCTTGAAGTGTAGGCTTCAGTATCCAATCGCTTCCAAATTTCCTTTTTTTCAGTTTTCAGAAATAATGGAGATGGGGAATGGTATTGCTATTTATCTGTTTAGATGTCTTTTAAAAATATTTCTGATATTCAGAATGAATCAGTGTTACTTATTATAAGACAGAAAAGCATGTCATCACCAAAGTAACTGTTTATTTTCTTTTGTTATACCTTCTATAATTTATTTTCCATTTGGAACGTATAATTTAAGTGCATATTATGATAATTTTAGGCTATGTTATTGCAAACCCTTGGACACAAGGCTAGCTTTACTTTTACAAGTAGTCTTTCGGAACTTAGAATTTATACTCATTTGAGTAAGATTACTACTCACCCCAAAAGGATCTGTCCTTTTGAAAATGGATGGTGCTGTTCCAATTGATTTCAGTGGAGACTTCTTAAAATTGATGGCAGTATGTACTCTCTAGTTTATAGTTTCGTAGTTTCTAGGGTCAGAAGGGACCTGAACAGATCATCAAGACTGACCCCCTGCCCTGGGCAGGAGCAAATGCTGGGATTATAATACCCCAGCCAGATATATATCCAACCTCCTCTTGAAGACTCCCCAAGGTAGGGGAGAGCACCACCTCCCTCGGGAGCCCATTCCAGAGCCTGGCAGCCCTAACCATACAGTAATGCCTCCTAATATCAAGCCTGAACCTGCTCTTAATCAATTTTTGGCCGTTACTCCTTGTTATCCCAAGTGGTGCCCAGGGGAACAGATCCTCACCTATTTTCTGCTGGTCCCCCCTGGTGAGTTTATAGATGACCACCAGATCCCCTCTCAGTCTTCTCTTGTGGAGGCTGAATAGATTCAGGCCCTTTAGCCTATCTTCATAGGGCGTGGCCTGCTGCCCCCTGACCATGTGAGTGGCCCTTCTCTGTACCCTCTCAAGGTTAGCCACATCCCTCTTCAAGTGTGGTGCCCAGAACTGGACGCAGTACTCCAACTGCAGCCTGACCAGTGCCACCTAGAGGGGAAGGATCACCTCTCTGGACCTGCTTGTGATGCATATAGTAATTATTTGGGGCCCAATCCTGTATTCCTAAGATATGAATCCTCAGCATCCACTAACTTCAGTCCAAAGTTTGGATGCAGGAAAAAGTTGGATTGGGCTGTCCATAGTGCCCCCAACAAGTGTTACATTGAAAATGCAATTAACCAGTTAATCATGCTGTAAATAGTAACTCAGTCATATGTGTAACTCAATTCAAAGCATGAGAATGCAGTAAATGAGCCACAAAGTTATTCCACATTATATATTTTATTGTATATTATTATATAATGTGAAATAACCTGTGGCTTATTTGTATCATGCCTTAAATTGCTTATTTGTATCGTTGCCTTAAATGTGGCTGCAACCTAGAACACAGGAAAACATACATGTATAATGACTTAATTGTGTATTTATTTATTATGCCTATATACTGTTTTGCATTCACTCCATCTTACGTGCAACTCTTCTCTGTAAGAAAAATGTGAAAATATTAAAAAATCCAAAATAATAATGGCGTTTCATAAAATTAAAGTTGAGAATGTTAATATACTTAATATTATTCTGTGACTACTGTTATATAGTTCACATAGTGTTTATACACAGCTGAACTGTTCTACTTTAGGCAAACATCAGAAGGAGAGGAAATAGATAGCTAGTGCAATGTTAAAGCCTTCCAAAGATTACCCTGAACATTGTTATTTTACACATAAGGTGTTACAGTTGTAAAGCCCAATATTCAAGAATCTTCTAGCACAGGACACACATGCTGTACACTTCATTGGTAAGCTAGTCTTCGTCCAGTGTCCATTTACATGAAATCTACGTTTTTAGCAAGATTTTTTACTTTACATCTGTAAATGATGCAAGACCGTATAATATATGTCAAGTCAGTGCAAGTTTTGGAAAATATTACACATGCGGTGAAGGAGTGAAACATTTATATAGCAGATAGATTTTGAGAAAAATGTTTACTACTTAAACTACACAAGGATTCTGAATGTTAAAGTAAACTCCGGAATAGTGGATTAATAACCGCAGTGGCCAAAAACATAAAGTAATTCTATTACATAGTTCCTTACATCTGGTATATGAATCATACCATTATGTGTAGAGTGAACCGTCTAGAGCATGGGAGGGCAATTATTTTGGGCAGAGGGCCACTTATTGAGTTTTGGCAAACTATTGAGGTTTGCATAGATAACCCCGCCCCTTGACATGTGTCCCGCCCACTGGTTGCTATCTTGTGACTGAAAGTCCTGCCTACAGTGCTCACCCCTGACATGCCACCAGAAGTCCCTCTCCTTGCCCCCATAAATGTTCCTTTCAGCAAGGGGTTTTGCCATCTCAGAACCAGAAAAATATCAAATTATGTTCTAAAAATTGAACATCTACAACATTCATTAATTTGATTTCAAAAAATATTTTTCTCCTGATTTACATGTGTTTGTGTAGTGTACATAGAAGTTATTGCTCAATAGCTTCAAATGAAGTCTGACTCTTGTATATTGTGGGGGTTGGGGGTGGGTATAGGTTTATAGAGGGGTGTGGGGGAGGGTG